TGGGCATACAGAGCCCAAGGAAGCGTGGTGACAGTTACATTCATTAGCCTTATTCACACTCGTCTTTCCTCAACTCTCAGTGGATGCAGTGATCCATAAGGGCAAGTGAACAGGCTTGGCTTTTACTCCATGATTATGCATATTCACTTTTCCTTGCTGCTATTTCCAAGAGGAGAAAAAACAAGGTATGGTCCAGATCTGCTCCCAGAGGCTGAACCCCCTGATTCGACAAGAGAAGGAGAGAGTAGGTAACTACCCCCGTAGTCATTATTCAATATTATTCGTCATTACTCAGCATTATTTCAGGCAACCTCAGACTGGAAGGCCAGAGCATCTTTTTCACCGAGTATATCCTGATCCTGTTATTACACACAAAAGCTGTTGGCATGATGAACTTCTGGATGTGGCAGTGACCCAGGAAAGGAGGATGCTACCGTGCTAGTCCAAGCTGAAGTTCAATGTTGTAAAACCCTGATCCAGGAGCTGAGATTCAACATGTGACAGCTGGAGATGGGAAGAAATGTGGCTATGTATTCCATCCAGCTTCAGTACTTCATTTGTAATGAAGTCGCACGATTGAAACTGTGTATCTGTGTACTTGTTTTGCAAGTATAGTTTCCATGGGAGTGTCGTTAAGTTTGGGGGAATGGGAGAAGGGAAAAAAGCATTCTTCTGCGTGACATGGTGTCACTCAATAAGAACAGAGGAAACACGAGCAGGCCAGGGAAGCATGGCTCTGTTAATTGCTCTAGTCAGGTACAACATACTCAAACACCTTTGTAGCCCAGAGGCACAATAGAGAAGGCATGTCTACATAACTAACTTTCCCTTTGTCAAAAGGCTGAAGACCTGGTGGTTCTGTTCAGAGAGCACAATCCAAGAACTAAAACAGAACAGAGAAGGGCCCAGAAGAGGATTCCTTACCTGGAGCAATGGAAGTCAGTCAGTTTCCAGATCTGGTCATCTTCTCCAAGTGCCTGTAAATCAAAGGGGCCATGGTAACTTGGAAACTCTCTTGCCTACTGGCTTTCACTCCCACAACTTTCAAGTAAAGGCTTGATGTATCACAGATGGTTCCTGTTCACTCAGGAATTACGTCCACTTTCCAATTTAGAAGCTGAAGTAGTGCAAGATATCTTTATGGCCGTGGAGCATTTATTGTCTTTGGCTTTGTTGCAGTCCTGCTTCAGGAACAGAGGCCTCCCTTCCAGTTCTCCAGCATGGGGAGAGCATAGTAGATAACATATTTCAGGTTTCCAAAATGTTTCCCTGGCATGGGTATTTATTTCAGAATCCAAGGAGATCCATTACTTCTGCTGAAGTAGTGTTGGAACTGCACCAGATCGTGTCTGGAGAACGCAGTTTTCAAGCATAGGGACTCTAGTGTTGCAGTTGTTGGAGACTGGCTCCGAGATGAAGTCAAGCTCATTGTACCAGACTGTTGTTCACCAAGGGTCCAAGGTGGAACACAAGTGTAAATTGTAACTGGTCAGTGTAAAAAGTAAGTAGTCCAGCAAAAGCATTTTCCAGGTAACTTTCAACTGTAGCTCCACAAAGTGCACAGAAGGCATAACACAGACCTTAGTGATAGATAAGCTTTACTTCTAACTATCCATGAAAAAGCACTAGAATAAATATGGGGGGAAGTAAGTATCTTGACCATTACTTCATTCTGCGAATCTGATCTGAATAAAGGCTTTTTGATTCAGGGAATTAATGCAGACTTAGCCAGAAAACCTAGAAGTTGCGCAAACATAGCTTTTTTTTTTTCTCCTTTCTTTTTTTTTTTTTTCTCCTTAAACCAGATTTAGCTGAATTCATCAACTTGCAAAGGATTCCTTTAACGTTAACTTTGTTTACTTACTCAGTGAAGAAACTGAAGTAACAGACCAGATTTAACTAAACCAACCTCCATATTTGGAGTTTAAATATGTATCACAAGCAGATTTTAAATAAAGGAGAAGAAACTTGCATTTGTGTGATCTTCTCGCAAGATATAGAAACAACAGAAAATGATTAAGAGTGAAATGATGGTGAAAATGGCTACTTTTACTATCCATACTACAAAATTTCTAAAGCAACTGCAAGAAGTATGATTGTCAGATGTGATATTAAATAAATCTTCAAAACACCATTTGAAATGCTCAGGATCAGATTAATTCCTTGGCTAGTCTTATGGAATAAATGGATTTACAAAAGGATTGGCTTCAGCAACCTGTATACCACTTTAAAAAAATTCTACAAACAAATAGCCCAATGCAAAACAGAATTTGTACTCTTCACTTTAACAGACTGTTCTTTTCCCTTGTGTCATGCCTACTTTTGCATGCATTTCACATCGGAAATTCAGATGTCAAGCTAACTTTTTTCCATGAACTATGAACAACCTTCTTTTTTTGGCAGCTCTCCTCTAAAAAGAAGAGGTTTTCAGATATGATCTCTTCTCTTTCGTCTGTGAAGCAACTATGACTGCTTGTGGTTATCTAAACTAATCTCCTCCTAAATCCTCAATAATGGGATTTACTGCTCTGAGCCCTGAAGTAATTCCCAAAGGACTCAAGTCTGTGCTTGACTGCTTTGTTAAACCAGGGCAAAGAAAAAGACAATTTCTTCCATGAAGATAGACCTGCATTCTCTTTTCCTAACAAATATTTCAAGACATTTACAACTGCAAAAATGAGGTGGTAACAGGATTTAATCATGTTAGTTCAGTCTCTTTGTGATGAATGAGGATGTTTGACCATTAACTTTTCACCTGAATTTAATACCAGCAATATCTTACATAGTTATTACAAGCCCTCCTAAGATTACTTCATTGAGAAGACAGAAAAAGACCACACCGATACCACTGCTTGTTTGGTTTGCATGGACCTGTTCTTTGCACTACTGCAGGAAGTCAAGCTCCTTAACCAAAAATCTCGTTTTCCCCCCCACCCCACCCCCCGCTTTAAAAATTAACAAGCAATTACAGAAGTGTTCACCATACAAGAGCCACTCTAAGGTATCTGGGCATGCAATACTACTGGTTCTATGTCAACAAAGATGGAAAGTGTTACTTGACTTGATTTTTTTTTTTTTGGTTTAGATAACACAGGTGAGAATAAATTAGGAAGACAAGATAACTTAGAGATGCTTTTACAGAAATAAAAATCTTTGGCCAACAAGAGACAACACTTCTCAGAAACAGCTAGTATATGCAAAACAGCTTAGCAGTAAAGACGACAGAATAGGAGAAAAATAGAACAAGATTTGGGGACTAAATGCTTTTACCAAAACAAAGCAACTCTGGCAGCTCCAGGTACCAACACTTCACAACTGCCTGTCCCTCTTCATGCCCTCGCACATACACAGCCCCTACTGAGCACAGAGGTTCTCAGTCTCAGATTAGAGCGAACAGAAGGCACACGTGCCTGTGCCTTAACAGCTGCAGCTCACCATCCACAATACTAACTTGAGGTGGATTTGCGCTAATGAACTAACATGAAAGGCAGCTAGAAATCGCTTCTGCTGCTGCACACAGGAAACAAGGTATGTGGCATAAAGTAGGATGTACGGTTGCAGAAAAGAAAGCTGCTGTAGCTAAGTCCTCCAGAGTTTATCCATCAGAGCCTTAGATCAAATCACAAACCAGAGAAACAAGCAAAGACATACCTACCTTTGTGCTCCCAAGGCGATCTCCAGACCCAGTCCGAAAAGCATTTAAATAATCATGTACTACAGCTGTTAGGTCAGACATCAGATTATCCATTAGAGATGAGTGGAGCAGCAGAAGGCACTTAGCCTTCAGAGCAAGTGCTTCAAGCAGAGAAGCTGGAAAGGGTCTCAAGAACCATATGTCAGGATTCTCCTGTGTATCCCAATGCAAACGAAAACAGTTATTTAAGTAGCAAAAATTGTAACAAAGCTTTTAATCACATTCTTCTGCAGTTTACAACATATCTCCTGATGCTGATCGCTATTTTCAGTGCTATTGAATGCTTGCAGCTTCTAAGGCCATCTGTGTACAAGCCTGTGGATGTTACAGAAGAGGGAGTTTGGGAGGAGGGATTGCTTCTTTAGGAAAAAAAAACCCAAACCAAGACCAAGGCACACCTATTCCAGCATTTAATACTAGGTTCTCTCTCACCCATCTCTGAAACTAGGTTGGATTCCTAAGAGCTGAGCTGAAGATCTAAAGGGAAAAAAATCCCTCCCATAAAGGCAGACAGGGAAGCAGCTGGGGACAGTAACATCTTCAGCCATCACAACTGGAACCAGAAGAACATGAAAATAAGCCCCAGTTAAGCAGCACGATCATGATACCCTGAGCAAAACTGTCACTACAGAGTGGCTTACACTTATATACTTACTACATACATATTACACAGTCATTTTCCACTTCTAGTCTTCAGACCAATAGGAGGATTTTGTTTGCTAAACTAAGGAAGGCATGCTGTCATTTGGCTTAGATTTGCCATACAGAATTTTCTAAATTGAAATTTTGAGAGACACTATCAGAATTCCAAAACTTATATAAAAATGTGTTCAAATTAGAGGTTTCACTGAGTAGCCATTATAGCAATATCAAATAACATTTAATCCAGGCTTTTGAGAAGGATTTTAAATCTATGAACAGGCAGTGCAAAACCACTCAGATTTACTCAGAAAGTTACAAGACAAGTATGAAGGGAGAAAAAACACTCTGGCAGGAAAGAGATTGTTCCTATTCAGTACAGAAATCCTGCCTATATAGTGAGGTCTCATTAAGTATCTAGTTCCCATATTTAATAGCTTCTTTGGAAGTCGTCCCATCCGTGTCCCCCCCAAAAAAAAGCAAGGTCAGGCAATTAAAAACCCAGCAAAAAGATGCCATAACTGGCACTAGCGTACTCATATACTATTTGTTTAACTAATTTGATATCCTTCTATGATAAGATCACCCACCTAGTGGATGAAGGGAAGGCGGTGGATTTTCTGGATTTTTAGTAAGGCTTTTGATACTGTCCCTCACAGCATCCTTCTAGACAAGTTGTCCAACTGTGGGATGAGCGGGTTTACAGTGCGCTGGGTGAAGGACTGGCTGAAGGGCAGAGCTCAAAGGGTTGTAGTGAATGGGACTACATCTGGCTGGTGACCGGTCACCAGCGGTGTTCCTCAGGGTTCAATTCTAGGGCCAGTTCTGTTCAAGACATTTATCAACAATCCGGATGCAGGAGTTGAGTGCATCATCATTAGCAAATTTGCTGATGGTACCAAACTGGGAGGTGCTGTTGACTCTCTTGAGG